TTTTTTTTTTTTTTTTTTTTTTTTTTTTTTTTTTTTTTTTTTTTTTTTTTTTGCGGAAGTATAGCAGTGATAGCAAACACATGGACAAAAACAATCGTCTAAATTATGCGCATGTGTTTATGTATGATGCGTAAGCAGTAGCAATAATATAGTATTACATACAATTTTATGAAAAGTTAAAAAAAAAAAAGAGAAGGGAGGATAAGCGTATGAAAATTCGTAACGGAATAAATATAATATACAGTTGATTTTACCGATTAAAGCGTCCCTTGATTAAACATTACCTACCTGCAGTTGTAAGAGTTTTTTTGCGTTTCGCAGCAACGCGTTAAAAAAAAAAAAAATTATTATTTTTGTCTTACGATTATACCCACGGCACACAGACGTGTAGACCGATGATGGAAAGATGATGATATGACTTTAGCAGTTGTAGAACAAAGCGATCGTGCCAGAAACAACGGGCAAATGCATATTGTTGAAGAAGAAAAAAAAAAAAAAAAAAGAAAAAAAAAAAAAAGCAGTCAACAGCTGTAAGAAGCGGTATTATTATTAACATTGTCCAGCAAGTGCACGATATACACACAGCCAAACACACGGGCGCATGGACGAGCCAACGAGCAAACTAGCACTCGTGGATGCCGAAGTCGTAGTTGGAGCAGTACCTTAGCTGGGGCACGCTGAGGGGCCTGAGGAGGCTCTTGACGACGGGCGAGACGTCCCCGGGTTTCGGGAGCACGGGACTGCTCGCGCACAGGGCCGCGCTCGTCAACTGCGAGACCAGGGAGAAGCTCTTGTCCGAGCCCGAGGTTGTGCGGAAGACGCGCCGGATCTTGGATTTTAGGCCACTCGGGGGCGGCTGGATCGGCGACGACGGGAGGGGTATCAGCTGCACCAGAAGCAAAACACCATGTATTATGCATGTACTATGGTTGATAATATCATGGGGATGCGTTGATTACCTTGCCCTGGAACACTTGGGCGGCGAGTTCGGGCTCGGAGCCCCACCTGCAGGAGGTCGATTTCTCGAGGAGCCGGGAACGGGCGAACCGCTCGATCACCTCCGCGCACACGTACCTGCCGCAGAAGCGCGCCCACTGCTCGGCCCTCAATCCTCGGCCGTGGTCCCGTAACGTCGGATTGGCACCTGCATTGTATCCTACTTTTTTTCAACGCATACCTTTTTCGTTTACCCATGATAATTTCATTCTTTCATTCTGCGTTTCCCATTTTTTCATTTTTTACAAGAAAAAAAAAAAAAAATACTCACCAAAATGCCAATTTCTGTTTTATTTATAGAAACTTGGAATCGAGAAAAAGCCAAACTATGCGACGTACAAAAAAAAAAAAAAAAAAAAAAAACACATTTTTATTCCTGCATCGTGGATAATGTTTTCGTACAAGCAGTTTCCACCCGTCATCACGTAGTAAAATTATTTATCATGCACCACGTAAGAGCATTAAAAAATTGACGATGATTGATGATGGCGCGCGTCTTGTTTGAGCTTCACTGCTGTTTTTCCGAGGTATATTTTTAAAATCTGTGCAGAAGCGCTTTTTTTTTTCTCCGCGCAAGAGATTGTACCGATTATTCAACAGATGGACGAGGTGCATACCTGCAAAGAGTAGTATCTTGGCGCACTTGGTCCTGCCTTGGAGAGCGGCTTTCATGAGGGGCGTGAACCCGAGGGAGTTTCTCGCGTCGACCTCGATGCTCGGGCACCTCTGCAGCAAAACGTTCAAACAGTCCGTCTGGCCTAAACATTGGGAACAAAGTTTCAACACCACCCGATAACCATCAACGCTCGTTTATTGTCTTTGCCAAACGACGCGCGCGCGTATTCCGTTTTTCCCTTCCCTCCCAAACGCGCACCTACAATTCATGCAATACGTTACAAGTACAATATTACGTTTCTTTTTCTTCCCTCTGAATTTGAATCGGCAAAAAAATGCACGTTGTCTTCTTTTTTTTCATCCTCCCTGATTCACTTGTCTATAAGTACACACATGCTTTATTCAAAACCCAACGTTTACGAGCCGTCCATCTCACTGATCGACTACATGTACGTGTATATACATAATGTATTATTATTGTAGTAGGTATATACACGTTTTCCAGAAAAACAAAGCAACGATAATCACACGATGAGGCCTTAAAGCCGGCAATCAAAGGCACAAGATGAAAAAACATCGGCCAGTGCAGTGTTGCGCAACCGTCCGCGGTTTGATTGCCGATCTCTCGTGTCCTACACGTTAACCAAAATTATTGCAGCGCAAGCGAAAATGACGCGTTTGACCATCAAAACGAGTCGTTGCGCAACGCGGGGATTCTCCGATAAGCTGCATACCCCCCCCCCCCCCCCCCATAATATATAATACTCTGTAGCATCGGCGGACACGTTTGCTCAATGGTCCGAAGAGACGAGAGGGGGTGCACAGTTGATTTTTTGTCTCCCTTTCGGACGAAAACAACGACCAGTTGTTACATCGCCTCTGTTTCCTTATATTGCATATAATATCATGACATTGCGAGGAAGAGCCCAAAAACTCACCGGCCTGGGCGGCAAAGTGCAGGGGCGCGTTGCCCTCGTTGTCCGGTAGATTAGCGTCTGCCCCCCTAAGGGCCAGACAGTCCTCGAGCACGACGGCGCTCCCGTTGCCCGCCAGGTGACTGATGGCGCTCTGAAAGCAAGCAACAAATATACATCGCGTGCGTCATTACAACCCCCATATATAATGTGCAAGCTCGGTGTATGTGTTTACCCCCGATTTGCCAAGGACAACAAACTTGCTCCTTTGCTTCTCCCTCGCGCTATTGTTGCCGAAACTGCGAGATGTGAGAGGGGGAAAGTGAAATAGAAAATAAACCTCGGCCATTGGAATTTTTCATCCTCCCGATGACCGCGCGAGTCCCGACGCACACATAGTTTTGCTCTCGAGATGCATACCGTCCGTCAGTATATTATACATATACACACATACTTACTTATACGTGACCCCTCTGGGTCTCGCCTCTGACGCTGTTTCTGCGAAAGGCTCGAGTGCGATGCTCGATGTGTATAAATATATATATACGCAAATTAAGCTCGCGCTGCAGAGAAGTCGAACGAAGAGCAGACGGAGAGCGGAACGTCATATTCGTATACTTACACATTCGTGGGTAAAAAACGCCGACCTAGCGTTTTTAACAAAGGGGAAGGAGCTTGCATGTATTTACAGGAGCAGTGGTGTTAAGGAACAACAGTGTCGCATCGGTTGAGCTTCGTGTGCGCGCGGACCATTTTTCAATGCAGCATACGGAAATTGATGTCAAAGGGCCGATTGATCCCTCGCTGTTTTTTAACCAGAGCCAACATTTAAGGGGATGACACGCGGGGATAAGTGTATACCTATTTGACACGTAATTATTACAGGTGCAAAACAAACGGGGATAAAGATAAATCGTGGATGACTCGATAAACTCACGTGTACGATCTTTTACGTGATCGAGTATTGTGTTACATGCGCATCGGCTCGGGCGTCGCCGGTGTCATTGAAGCTATCGAGAATCAATTCACAAAGCGGAGCAGCGGTTGCCTTTGTTGTACATGCGTATACGTATACACCCCAAAGTATGTACAAGAGATTGGTATACATAATATATACGCAAGCGAACAAAGTCACGTGCGCGCGTCATTTGCCATGTGCGTAACGCCTCCCTCAACCCCATCCTCCTATGTTTATTTTACAGACTGCGCGCGTATACGTATTTATAAATCCCTTGCGCGATTTTCAATCGAAACGGCTCCTTCGCTCTTATCTGCCCGAGAAAAAACTCTCTACTTAATAGACGGTTACCACCGTATATATATATAGATATGTAGGTTTGTATATTAACAGCCCAAAAGTACTATACGTGTGACTAAATAATTGCGCGCGTTAATTCAACTATATACATTTGTACATACATGTTTGTATAAAACAGGGTTGGTTGGTTCTAAAAATATACGCGCACACCAGTGGTTTATTTTTGTGATACGTCAAGTTAAATATATATATATATAAGTACAAAGAGTGACGATGAACATCAACTTCACGTATACACGCGTATACTAGATATTTTCGTGAACTACGTCGTTTGCTCGTCATCGGGCGAATCATAATTTTCCAAAGGGTATACCTAAATATTTGATCATTGTGCACACTTTATGCGGAAAATTGAAAAATCCTCGAGCGACTTTCAGCTAAAATGATTTACCATAAGGAGGAGGAGGTAGGTAGAATGGTCATGATCGATCGGATCTACTTGAGGATGATGATGTATAATAAAAGTCGCAAGAGTACTAGCACCATACAAGTTACAGTGGGGGGGCACTTGTAAAAAGCTCCTCGTAAGATGAAGGAAATCAAGTCGGCCCTTTGAGTCTACACGGTGACCGGCAACCTCCTCTTTTTTTTTTCCCCCCCAAGGAGAGCGCGTTTAACCCACATATATATATATATATATCACGCGTTCCGTAAGGGAGGACACACGGGTTTTTTGCACGGGAGAGCTCCGCATTATGTAAAGCTTCTTTGTGCTTGTACCCACCGATGGGGGGGGGGGGTGCTCGATTCTTTTATCAATAATCAATAAAGCGTGATCGCGCGACGGAGTAGGAGAAGCCCATCGGAGCGCGAGCGAGGCCGCTCTCTCGCACGGGTCCCCGTGCACGTATACAAAAGAGCCGTATATTTACCGCGTGTGCCCGTGACAGCAGAGTATTTAACGATAGTGCAAAGGAAACTGTATCCCCCCGCCCTCGTACGAGATAAGTGATGTGAATAAAAAAAAAAAAAAAAAGAAAAGAAAAGGATGCAGGACTCGACTCACCCTTCCGCTGTTGTCGACGGCGTTGACGTCGACGTCCCCTGGCCGGGCGATAATCCTCCCGGCGAGCTCGTCGTCCCCGTCCTGTGCTGCCCCCAGGAGGGCCCGAGGCCCCCCCGGGGACTTTTCCCAGGACAACGGCAGATTCGTCGTATCCCCCGGCGAGAACAGTAGCGAGCGATGGCTCCGGTGTTGGCTGAACCGCTCCTCGGGCTGGCACCCGTTGCGATCTGCGCAACAGTTTATGGCTTTTCCTGAGACGTCAGCCGATTCGGCCCCGATGCTCCCCCAAGCTCCATCAAATTTCAACTACACGCCACATCGATCGTCGCACGCGCACCACAAGCGAGTGTCAACGCACGCTCCGGAACCTCCTTATATTTTTCGATATACATATAGTCACCGACAATTAGCCCCGAACTCTTTCTCCTCCTTGTGTGTATATATATATATATATATATGTACCTATGTATACTCTGTTATTAGAATGTATTACTCCGTGGTGTACCGACAACAACGTCACCGATCAATCGGAAATATATATATAGATCGGTTAAATTTTAAATTTTAAATTTAACGATCTCTTGGTACATTCCCCTGTACGTATGGGCGAGTATAATGAACAACACAACGTGGTTTTTTGTTTTTGTTTTGTTGTTAGTTCAACTTGGGAGAGCATCGAATCGCGTAATATATTATACTTATGGCTGTTGTGTAGAGAGAAAGAGAGTGGCTCGCAGCGGGTAAATTACACGTGTAAGTATTTGTATACCGATTGCACCACTGTTCGAACACACGCGATCTATACATGTCAAGTATGAATCATCAGAGCACCAAAAAATTGAAAAAAAAAAAAAAAAAATTGAAAAAATCACACGCGCGCACTGCGAGCCGCTTCTCCTCCCCAACCGACTCACCCTGAAGGACGCCCTTGCGGTACAGCTTGGCCTCGTGCAGCGGGGTTTTCTTGGCGCAGCGGTTCTTACCCGCCGACTCGCGGAAGCTCGTGTCGGCGCTGAACGAGACGCACTTGCGGCCCAACTCGGGCGACACCGAGCCGGCCGGGTTGCGCCAGCGCCTCTGCAGGAGCGAGCGCAAGCCCCGGCCGTCGAAGAAGGAGCTCGAGCGCTTGAGGATGCCCGCGGCCGAGGATTTGCCGGAATCGGCTCTCAGCAGGTTCGCCGGCACCGAGGCTGACTTGCCGATCGGCCCTGGTTTGACGCCGCTCCGCCCGGCGTTTCCTCTCACCGGCCCAGTGCCGAAGAAGAAGGAGCGGCTGGATGGGCTCGCCGCGGCTGTCGGTGCGTCTTTGGCGTGGCGCGCCGACGGCTGCCCACTGGCTGCAGGAGCGGCGGCGTTGTTGCCGCCAGCGCCGTTTATATTGTTGTTGATGCTATTTCGGGGTAGTAGGGCAGTGACGGTGCCTCCCTCCGGCGACGCTCGGATGCTTTTCACGCTCTCCTGTACCAGGATCTTGCGCAGCTTCGAACATTGTTTCATTGGGTTACAAGTTTTTTTTTTTTTTTTTTTTTTTTTCCTTTTTTCCCCTTTCCGAGCTATACATAACGATGTTTCGAGGATAATTTCATTGAGCGTTATACCTATCAAGTTATTGAGACCTTTTGTGTGCGTTGTATGGGTGCACATGGCCTCGAGAGAGAACGCGGGCTCGATTGTTCTTGTGGTGGCGCGAAACGAGACAGGGGAGAGAGGATACATGGAAACTTTTTCAAGGTGACCAAGCGGATGTTACGTATATGTACATCCGAGCGAGCGTCGCATTGTTTTTTCTCCAGCGTGCGATTTGCATGTGTACGCGAGTGTGACTTGCAGCTTTTTAGCGCAGGACGCGAGCAAAGACACGCGTACCGTCACGCTTGTGTGTCTGTACGTACAAATGTATGGTAATCAAAGCTTTTGGGGGAAAATGTAAATTGCAACGTTACGGCGCGTTTCTACGTTACACGGCATTCAAGGGTACTTGGGCCTACTTTGGAAGATCGAAAAAAAAAAAAAATCAAGCTTCAATCGGTTTTTGACCGGTAAATATATTTTTATGTAACTCTCCCCTTGTTTGGCTAAGCCCAAATTAATATACTCTACTTATCTGCAATACACGTGCGTACAGGGTAATATATCAATAGGCACTTTTAAACGAGCGGTATACGTGGGCACCTTTTTTTTTTTTCTCTCTTGTCACCATCAATCTCGCGAGTCACCGTCTTCTCGCCGACGTCGTAAATTGCAAAGGAGTTGCGGCTCTCTCGCCGCAAGGGAGTAGCCAACCACTACAATGAAATCCGAGCGAATTGTCTACGTGTGACGTACGAATGTCGGCCAAGCATATAGGTACTATAGGTACAGCATCGTCAGCGACATATTTATATACTGCACGCGTCAGCATCAGAAAGGAACATATTATTATCTCTGCATATGTATAAATATCTGTTGAAATGCCCGCGTTTCGCGAGTTTTTGCCTTCGAGCACGTACATACACCCATCGTAGATGAGATACCGAGGGTTCGATCAAACTTTTCAACGGAGCGAATTTCCTCTTCACTTTGTTTTTCGACTCGTTTCATCGCAATTTTTTTTTTTTTGCCTCGCACTAAAACTTGATTTTGCGAGTCCATACAGGGTACACGTATGTACGAACGCGCAACATATCGGGTTCAAACATATATAGGTAGGGACGAGTCGAGGGTTTATTATTTACCTTGAAACGCGGCAGAGGAGGGAATAATATTTTCTAAGGCTTCCCCATGTTCCGCGATTTATTGGGAATATCCTCGAAGCCTCTCCTCTTTGTAGCGAGCGCTCGGCTGATTTTCTCTCGGGTTATTTATAAAACCCATCCCTCGGCACCTTACCCTACACGTATACTATAAAATCTCCGTTACGCGCGTTCTACAGCCGCGTTACATACAACCGCGTTGATTTTGCTCCGTACGTATATATACCCATTATAGTAGCTGGTATGGATGTATTAACTCCCACGCGACAGATAAATGTATACGCCTATGAGCAGGTGTGTGCAATACTTACAGGATGCCGGGTGAAGCCGGTGATGGCACCGTTGCCGAGATTGGCCGTAGTCGTGTCCGGGAGGCCAGGTTCCCCGTGGGTCATTCCGACCGTGGTGACGATGGGCAGCCTCCTCGTGCCGGTCCGGCCAGCCGATGCAGCCAAAACGGACCGTGAACAGCTCGCCGGTGCCGGCGGGTCCTGCCACGGTTGCAAACGGAGAAAAATAAAAAAAATAAAATCAGGAAAAATCCCTCTTCATCCCCTCGCCAGTTTGAAGCGTGTATATACAACTCCACCTGCGTGCAATTGACGGTTACACGTCGGACCTTGGCTACACCCGGTCACTTCTATAAATACAATTCCTTTCTCTCTCTTTTGATAAATGCAGATCGATCCAATTAAACTCTTCCCCCCTCCCCTCCCCCCTTTTTTTTTATACGTTTATACACACTGTTTCACCGAGTATACATACAACCGTCACTCGGTACTGTTGTTATCGTCACGTAACGCAATAATAACCCCGTTGGATTGCCAGTGCACTGTCGCCACCGTCCCTCGTTGGTTCCGGCTGAATGTGCTCACTGTATAACTTTCGATCGATCCATTTCTCTCTCCCGTTCCTGTATAATTATACAATGTATCTGCAAAACAAGTGCACCCATAAAACCTCGAAGCTTTGGGTTTAGTATACATATGCGCGCATCGGGGCTTGTTTACTCGTCGCCTCTCTGTTTACATCGGGACGAGTTTGGGCGCAAACCACTACTTGCGCGCGTAAATTTTATTCCCTCCATCCCCGTTGTTGTTTTTTTTTTTTTTTTCACCCTCGATGTATACCTACATGTACGGGCATTTACGAGGCTTATGGCACGGGGGTGGGGGTGGGGGAGCCTTTTACGAGCTTTTACCGAATACCGATATACATGCACGTGCGTATACTTACTCGCGCAAGCGGGCCGGCTGACGTTGGCGAAAGCTCGGTGTTTACGCCTCTGCACGCGTGTGCTTTTAAACGCGAGACGTGATTTTACGGGAAGCTGAAGATTTACACGTACCCCGTACACTCCGTGCGACGCATATATAATGTATAATATTAGATTTTTGGGAGTTTTGTAACGGAGGATACAGTTGTTACATGTAATTGCTTATACAAAAAAAAAAGGAAAAAAGGAAAAAAGGAAAAAAAGAGATATAAAGCTCGGGCGTCATTGATGAGCGGGCGATAGTAAAAATCGAAAGATTTCCTGTTTTGTGTGTGTGTGTGTGTGTGTGTGTGTGTGTGTACACATGCCCCCGAAATATCGTATAAGCGAGGGCGCACGTGGTGTGGATTTCGCGCGTGTCGGGCGAACGTTTCCACGCGGCTTTATCGGCCAGTCGGATCTCTGTGCCTTCGTTTGGCCTCTAACGAACCCCACACTGGCCACCCACCGCCTTGGGGTACGTTTATATAAAAAAAAAAAAAAAAAAAAAAAAAAAAAAAAAAAAAAAAAAAAAAAAAAAAAAAAAACAAAAGGATCTCTGTGCCTTCGTTTGGCCTCTAACGAACCCCACACTGGCCACCCACCGCCTTGGGGTACGTTTATATAAAAAAAAAAAAAAAAAAAAAAAAAAAAAAAAAAGAAAAGAAAAAAAACGAGGAGAGAAAAAACTAAAGTTCCGACGCACATGACCAGTGTGTAGTTAAACAATGCCATCGGAGATGAAGCAAAATCGGAGAACAAAAGAGAGAGAGAGAGAGAAGGCGACGAAGAGGGAGGTATGCTCGTAAATAAAAATCTCATCAAGATACCTCTACGTGGATGGTATATATATATAATATGGGTGTAGGGCGCTATGTGTACACGGGGCTATCTGATCGATCGTGAAATTGTCCGAAGGCCTCGAGGGCCACAGCATGTACATGTACACACGGAGAAGAGGGGGCATGGGGGGGTAAATTAAAGCTCTGCCGATGACTGGCTCTATTAAGCTGTACGTGCGCTTTATATGCTCGATTATTGTTGGGTGAAGGGAATAGAGCTAACGTGGCGTATGTTATACACGCGTAAGTGAGAAAGTGTGCTATGTGTGTGCCATAACTGGCAAAGTTGGCTATTAAGCCGCGCGCGCGCGCGCGTGTGTCTGTGTGTGCATGCATAAACTTTTTGGTGTTTTGATTGCTTTTCTCTCTTCCTGTTTAAATCGATCGATTTCCCTTCCGTCTTCTCGCCCGTTTCTCAGCTCTGCTCTTTTCTCACCTTCACTTTCTTTTTTTTTTTTTTTTTTTTTTTTAATTAAAGGATTTTTTGATAGTGATTGATATTTCGAAGGATATATTGGGAGATTTTTTTTTTATGTGCTTGTAGTCTATAGATTGCGAACCACCTATAAATTCTACCTGAAAAGTATTTATACGCTTCTATCGTATTTATAAATATAGGCACTGCCCGTGTAATCCGCGGAGGAAATTGCATCTCGGCTTTTAAGTAGAACTGATCGAGTACGGTAAGACGCGGACACGACCCTGCAGGGCTATAGTATGTACCTATACATATATTACGTGCTGAGGAATTTTCTAGGAAGTATTTTTCAAGTTTGCTATATTGTTATGATTTTACACGATGAAACGGTCAAATAAGTATAATTAAAGGGCCCACTTACGTGTGGTATGGCATCAACTTTTGCGAGATGTCACAGCATCGGTACGTATTGATGAATTTAAATCCTTTAATTTCTTTATTAGTTTTTTTTTTAAGCGTTCCAACTCAACAGCCAACATAACTATACGCGGAGGATAACATCGGATGAATTTGAAAAGAGCACTAGTTGTTAAAGGTTGACCGCATAACGGCCAATCCATCACCATCTTAATCGATTCCTTGTACAGCTATATACAAGTAAGTGCTATAGTTGGTCAGTTGCTTTGTTGGGGCAATAAGCTGCAAACTTATACACAGGCGAGCCGTGTGTAAGGAGCTTATACACGTACTCGCCCCGTGTACACACACAGTATAGAGAGAAGAGCCATTATCGAAAGTACAAGAGTAAAGTGTATAACAACAACATCGTTAAGAAGCCAAGCGAAATCGGCAATCGTGCGCCTTGCAAACTCGATCGAGGGGCTATACGCGTAAATACCTATGTATACCAAGGGGGAAGGACAGATTCGATTGAGCCCTTGTGTATATTGGCTGTGGGTGTTAGTCGTACCCCAATCGACTTTCTTTAGCATCAACTTTTCTCAGCTGCTCTCTTTTGTATCTCGGGGTACTTTTGGAAAATGATGCGCCCGCGATGTGCTCGATCAGGCGGGGGGAGGAGAAAGAGACCCATCGATTTCATCGATACTCGATCGCGACAAGGACCTCGATTACAATTTCACGGCCCCCGCGAGTCTTGCACATATATATGTGTACGTGACCCGATTACATTATTAGCTGAAAATTCGAGATTCATACCGATTTTCCCGGAGCTCCGCTCGTACGTAACTTGCGCGTGGTTCAAGCGAAAACGAAAAAAAAGCTTGATTAGTAGACGCGAAAACACCGTAGAAGGATCGATCGATCGAAAGCCCGGCAAAAGAGCCGCGCGTGCACGTCCAACGGCGAGAATTAACCGGCGGGTTGTTGCACCTCGGGTATTAGCTCGTTAACTCGCGCGAGCCGCCTCTGCCCCCTCGGTCTGATATTATGATGCGGAAGCTCGCGTGCATAATAAAACATCCCCGGCTGATGTATTCCTTGTGTGTACGTGTATATGTGAAAGCGCGATAAAGCTCCGGTTTCCTCGGCATATCGGCCAAACTCGGCCGACACGTACATAGGTACATATTTCATACAGCGAATCGTGGGTTGCATAGTCGGGGCTAAAGCGTATAAGCGGATAACGCGATTGTTGCGAGCTTTTTCGGTTTTAAAGTATACATTTGAGTGATATACATGCATGTATGCATAGCTTTTGGAGCTTGTTGTTGTTGCTCCCTCTGGCCGTGACGGAACATATATATATATATATATACATAAAATAATGTCGATACACGAGTGTAATGTATATTTTATACGAGCGGAGTGGATGACAGACGAGCAGACGGGAAGAGAATTCCGATGAGTTTTCTTTGTATATATGCACACGCGCGTTGGACGCGAGAGAAGAGTAAAGCTGCTGCTTCGGCCTGAATGGTCTTGTGGCGAGCTTTCGCGCGAGTCAAGGCTGCCGTCGGGCGCCTCCCTGAGGGTCACTAGCCCACTACTTTTACATACTCTATACCTACAATGTATATACACTTGATATTTATACTGTGATATGTATTTCTCTCTCGGCTCAATTTTTTTTCCTCATACCTATGGGCGTAAGATCCATCGAGGGTACAGCGATACGTGGGGAGAAGAAAAAAAAAAATTTCGTTCACACCCTCGTGTCTCCCACCCCCTGTAGCCACCCTCGAATGAGCTGTTACACTTTGGAATATGCGAAGGTCGCGTTGCCCGATTGCGGATGCCGTTTACGTGGCTCTTGCGCAATATTTTTTTTTTTTTTCCTTCTCTCCTCTCTCCCCCCCCAAATGACTCGGTTTCGGAGGCGTACGTTACTCCCGCGGGTTAAATTTGAAGTGTGACGATGTTGCCCCGATTCTCCCTGTTTTGAGGTTCCCGACAAATACAATGTGTAGGCGAAAAGCGTATCTTTCGTCTCCCCTTTGTTTTGAAAATAGTTTGCGGGAATCTCAAAAACACGAGAGTCCGCGCTTTGCTTTGTCGAAAGCAAGAAAGAAGAAAAAAAAAAAAAAAAAGAAAAAGAAAACACGAATCAGGAAGACGTGGATTTTGCGAGCTCGTTTGAAGTCCCGCCAGCTACACACCTTTTTCCTCGCGCTCGATTTGCACCCCGAGCGAGGAAGAGGTGAAAAACAAAATCGTCCGTATCGACAATTTCCCACCTCCGCGTGAGGCTTGCTACTCCAAAATTGTATCTCCGACAGAAGCTATTTTTCACCCACTTCCCGAGGTATCCCCTTCACTGGAAATTTTTACCAGTACGGTGATAATGGCCATATGCTCGCGAGCGCGTGAAACGCAAACAAACCACAATAGAACCACTTATACTACGTATATTGCACGCACAGCGGGAAAAATACGCTTGTTTTTGGGGAGCCGAAGCCAACGAGCTCGCTGTATATATCAATCTTGTTTTTCTCGAGATCGGTATACCATATTTATACCTGTACGTACATCGAACAAGTCCGAGAGTAGTCGTTTGGGGTAATCGCGGAGGTGTTGTATTTTACACACGGAGTAGCGGCTATACTTTATCGTACGACTCCCGCGGGACTACTCTCAAGCAGGTTCATGGCACTCGCGGGGACTCCTTTTAATTACCAGTTTACACCACGGGGACTCGTTATTTTCCTCAGTAAATCCCGTAGCGTATAGCAATAAACCACTGATTTCGTACTTTTAGCGTATTATATTGCGGGAAAAAAGGCCACCCGTCGCGTTTCGATCATCCGATGCTCGCTTACGAACAAACGATCACACGAATTTTTTTCTTCTTTTTTTTTCCATAGATACAGGATGGTATAGGCATTGTAACGTGCACTAAACGGATATTCGGTAAAGGATGGAAAAATCGGGGCGCTCGAGGCTATACCAACCTGCCTTATCTTAATCTTGCGGCCGAGCGACTTGGGACACTCGGACTCGAGAACGGATCCCGTCAGCACCATTTTTCAAACGACGTCAATAAGCTGCAACAATAAAAAAAAAACAAAAAAATAGAGATGCAACGGGAATCGACATAATAAGTATATGTACACACATAAACTCGGTCTGTTTTCAATATAGTAGTCATGCAACCGATTTTCACGTAACCGGAGAGCCTAGCTGGCGGTGATTTAATCAAAGTAAAATCGATCGACACGCGTTAGGAAAGTTTTGGCTCTCGAGGGGTTAAAAAAGTTCGAAGGTCGCGGTCCACCTGTAGGACATCACGTGTGAGCCGATCGGCGCGTAAAGACACGTAAGTATACTCACCGCACAGTGGCCGCTGTCGTTTTTCCCCCAAGGGATGCTGCCGATGTGGGCCACGGTACTCCTGGCACCGGCGTCATCTTTGCTCGGCCCATGTATCATCGTTGTGCTCGGGAGGCACGCGCGACGAACAACAAAACGCACGACGACTGGCCGGAGGAACCGGCAGTGGCGAACACGCGTGTCGCAAGGGCCGAGCGCTCACTAGCCAGAGTTCAAATCGCAGTGGGTAGCGGCACCAGCCCACTTTCGCACGGCTACCCGTGTGAGACGGGAGGCGCTGCTCGGACGAAAGCTCGGCACGCGCGCTCCGGGCCAGTATACACATTCGACGCAAGCGCAAATTCGCTTTTAAGTGTATATAGGTACGGACGATTCGGTGATGGCTCTTTTTTCCTCAAACTCCCCCGAACTTGAACGCTCTCGGCCGAGTTTCAGGGTTACCGCTTCGACACGTACATGTGCGCGCTTGTGGGTGTAGATCTCTCATCCGATGTGGCTCTCGTCGAGAGCGGCCTGTAGCTATATCCTCTTTTTTCCCTATATCCCCCCGATTTATATCGACCGCTGCTGGCTTTTTTACTGCTCTTCTTCTCCTTCTTTTGAAGTTTTGATTGGTTTATTGCTTTCCAGTGGCCATCGAATGTAATATACTTGAATGGTGCCCCTATTATTATTATTATTTTCTGGTATAGCTTATTAACGATGAAAAACTCAACTTTGATGGTTGATGGAATACACGACAAAAAAGCACCGCAAGTACCGAAGATTCTTCGCTACATATTTACATGTTATATGTTTCGAGACAGACGCGGGTAAAAAAGCTCTTACACAAGTAGGGAGGTGTGCGTACGCGCCGCGATATCTCTTTTTTTTTCCCAAGAGAAAGAGAGAGACAGGTGCTCAAACAGGTGAGAGCGAGGAGCTCGCGGCTCGTTACGCGTGTATATTATATCGCGTGCATCGTTATCGCCGCTGATGGCTAACCAGAGGGTGACACTACTACGAGGTACATATTAACTGAGCGCTCGGGTGGGCTTCCTCCTCCTCTGCCGCGAGTGCTATTTTGGCGCTAAGCTTGTGTAACTCGCGTTTAAATTTAATGCCGGCCGTTGGCACCGGTGGGTTTCGAGTTTTACGGCTGCGCCCTGATTTTTACCTCCTCCCCCCCCCTTTTTTTTTAATCGGTGCAAGAGAACGCAGATATGCAAGGGGATTATTGTTTCGGGTATTTATACCAGTGATGCGTGCACACGATGTACAAGGAGACGCACGTGACTGGATGAGTGACGTCGCCGCGTCAGAGTGAAGCCGACCCGATGAGCGTCTCCGTCGTCTATTTCTATCGTTTGGTGTTGGGGAGGCGCGTGAGATCACGCGAATCGTGTGTGTTATGCCATCGTCACCGTCGACGTCGGCATTTTTATGCGCCAGTTTTTTTTTTTTTTTTTGTTCGGTTCACGAGTCCCACGATTGTTGGTGCTTGTTCGCACGTTTTTCCCTCTCTCTGTAAATTGAATCACATGTACGTGCTTGGTTTTTTTCTTTTTCTTTTTTTTTTTTTTTTTGCAAAAGTCAATTCTTCAGCAGATGATGGATAATCATGAAAACGCATGACGCGAGCGTGAGTGTTTTAGAGTAAATAAAAGCAACGCTAAAAATATATATGTGCGCTACTTGTCGAAACAGGGGCGGCGGTCGCCTCGCGTCATAACGTTTGGATGGAACATATTTGTACAGGGAGAAATTTTTCACAGCTTGCAATTGGGAGTTGCGAGGGAAAAAAAAAAACTTTCACTTTAGATATCTTTTGGAGTTGTTTTCGATTTAATTGCATCTTTCGTTTGTTTACATTTTTATAATTTTATTTCATGCACACATGTTCCGGTTTCAAGCCATGCATCATACTTGACAGCTGAGTATAAGTGCAATGCAGCGCGACTCGATTATGTGTATGGAAAATATATTTTTTTTTTTTTT